AATTCAAACTTTATCGCCCCTTAAAATCGTTCATGACCTAAAAAAAATGGTGGTCTGTATTGTTTCCTCCGTTGGGCATATTTCTTTTTTGTTCAAGTGTTGAATGGTTTGGTATTTGTGCATAGACATGGGCAGAGCCAATGGATTATGGGCAAAGAAATGATAAGAAACAAGTGGAGTTTTCCATCTGTTGACATTTAAACAAAAGTAATGCTATATTGACTCAATTATGAAACCAAAAAATAGTTCACATCATGTGGCAACTGACATTAACGTAAGTAAAATTTTAATTTTAAATGAATAAAATAGAAATTAAAATCGTCGTTACTGCAATCTCACGTCATTTATTCCATATTGTTTATCTTATGTTTTGGTCAGTTTAAGATTATCCTTTAAAAAAATGGGTAGGGTGTCACTAATGAGGCCAATCTGAATTCTAACCAATTTTACTCATTTTTACCATTTGACCTGACTTAATGAGAATGTTTTTCTTACACCTTTGACCGAACCAACTCAAAAAAATGTTCACCAACTTTCTAGTCCTTTTTTTGTTCAATAGTCAAGGATGTCCGAGCCAGTTTAAACAATCTCAATTAGTCATTTTTTTTGATCCGACTAAAGAGAAACCATTCACAGCAAAACTAGGGAATAAATTCGTTACAGCCTAACTTCAAATAGTTGCCAAAATTCGAAGTTAGAACATCTAAATTTACAATTCTTTCATATTACCATTTGAACTATTCCTTGAATTTTTTGTCCCCTCTTCTACACATTGGGAGTGCTATGCTTGTAGGTAGCACATGCAAACGTATGCATAATTTCTGTGTAATTAAGAAGAATAGTAATCTGGTTTTTTAGATAATAAAAAAGTATCCTCATCAAGGTTGTGTTGGTTTGAGTCCTCAAGTGTATAATTCAGAACCCTTTGTATATTATAACCCAATTTTTTTATATGTAATGTGAAAAAATTTGGGGGTCAACTTGGACGATCAACCCTTTAAGTTTCCTAAAATTGTATAATATTCAGGAATTTGCTAAGTAACTTTTATATTTCTATATGGACGATGGAAGACCAATGAAGCAAAAGACCAAAAACGGGTCTAAGTAATGTAATACTGATCTGAAGGTGCTTCTGATCTCACCACGTTTATTTACAATATAAATTTTATACACCATGTCCACGTTAGATGATTTGACCCCTATTTTAATATCTCTCTTTTTTTCAGTCTTGCATTACCCTTTAATTTAGAGTTTGCAGCTCTCCCAATTTTCTGTTTTTTCTTTCCGATAACTGGTTCAAATTGTTGTCTCTACACTTAATTTCTGGATCCGTCCCAGTGCAACACAATTTTTTTTTTTTTTTTTGGAGTTCAATAGTAAAAGGTGTTTGAGTCAGTTTACACGCATCTCGATTAACCCCTCTTCAATTCGGTCAAAGGTAGATCATTCATATTGGGATTAAGGTATTTACGAGTGATAAATTTTTTATCACTTAACCTTAAGAGGTTGGCAAAATTCAAATTCAAGACATTTGAATTTACTACTCATTTTTATTACTACGCGAGCTGTTGGTTAGCAGATCACAATTTTGCAAAAGCTGTGCAAGTGATGGACATGGATTAGCTAGGTGTCGTTGACCCAAACCATTGAAAACATACCCCTAGTTAGATGTATGTAGACCAAGCAAAAGACCATCACCTCTTACTAAGTAATTAAAAACGAATACGAAAGGTTGCTAAAAAGTTCACAGAAGAAGAAGCAAGTCATTGTCTCACCAGATACAGTGCGAATTTTCACCTACGGGGGTTGGTGGGGTTAAACTGTAATTGACTTATACAAGTTGTTTCTTTGACAGTTCCACTTGGTCTTTGCTACGTAACATGACCACATTCTAGTCCCTTTTCTCTAACAAAAAGCATTTTTTAGCTGGTAAATCAAATTCTCAGTAGGTGTGGACTTTTGAACCAGGACTTGATGGCTGATTGCCGCCGCTGCTTAATTAGGTCATGAAAATTATTTCAAAGTTCCATTATGATGTCGAAAAAGTACTTTTTGATATTAGGCGAGTTTGGAACTGAAAAATTACAGTTTAAAAAAATTTGGAAAAAAGTTAGACTTAAAGAGTTCACCAAAACCATTTGGAATGTCCTTTATAAAGTTAAAAAAGTTCGTTTGGAGTGATTTTTTATTTTTTTTAATTTTTTTGTATCAAAATAAAAAAAACTAATTACATGTATAAATTATATATAATAGTTCCCAAAATATGAATTTTATTTTATTTTTTATAAAATTACTAATAATATTTTATGAATATACCGAGGCAGCCCAAGGTAAAGCATGGTCCTAGACAAAATTTTCATACGAGGCCGTATTGATATTTTGTCTATTAATATATTTTATTTATAACTATTATAATTTTGTTATGTTTAAAAAATTATTTTTTAATTTTTAAAAAACTTAAAATATTGATCAAGTTTTTATAGTCAAGTTTTGACAATAATTTTTTTTATAGATAATATTATTAATTCATTCACTCTTAGTTGATTGTAAATAAAATTTTAACAAGTAATTTAATAATAGAATATGCGAGCATAGAATAATTTTAACATAATAAAGAATCATTCTTTACCCATGAATAATGTGCATGCATGAAGTACAAAACTTTAATAACATAGACAATTTAAGTAAAAATTATTAGAACTGAAAATTTATATTAAGATAAAAAAAGAACTAATTTTATAGATTTTCATCACAAGAAATAATGAATATAAATTTTCTATGTGAGTGAGTGAAATACAACTATGAACACACCCAAAATATTTAGAAAATTTTAAATCAAAACTCACACGAAGGTGTAATTTTGGACCCAAAAAATTAGATATTCATTTGAACTATTAAAATTTGAGCCCTAAAAATTTGAATCATATCTAAAATACAAAAAATAAAAATAAAAATGACTATTATATTAAAGTGATAAAATTTATGGAGGCCTCTAAAATTTGGGCTTAACCAACTAGAAAGTAATTTTGGACTTAATAAAATTAGATACTGATCTGAACTAATAAAATTTGGGATCTAAAATTTTAATCATATCTAAAATAAAAAATAAAAAATTAGGCCTACTATACTAAAAGGATAAATATTGTAGGGACCCTCTAAAATTTGGGGCCCTAAGCAAACAACTTAGTTGCCTAAGGGTTGGACTAACCTGTGAATATAATAAATGAAAAAGTTATGTAGAACCTGTAACAAACTCTAAAAAGCCGAAAGCAAGGTTCATAAAATCAATTTCATAAATCAGTCTAAATAAACTTTTTGGGTTCAAAAACCTACTACATAAACTAATAAAAAAATCAAGATCCAAACAAACTTACCTTATTTTACTAGAAAAACCCTTAAAAATTATAATTTTTATTGTATCTATAATATAAAGTAAGGCGACTTTAACAAATAAATCCAACGACCTAAAATTCATTCATCCAACTGTCATTAATAACCTTTCATTTCCCCCCAAATTCATCTCTTTTTCACTCATTATTTTTCAAAATCAAACCTACCAACCTCAGTCACTTCATCTGTTAGAGATGCAGCCTCCCCCTACATCTCTTCTTTTTTTTTCCCAGACCTCTCTCAAGTCATGTCTTTGCTTCATTGTTGTTTCTTCTTTTTTTTTTTCCACTGTCAGTCCTCTCTCTCTCTCTGTGTCTTACGCCCCAGCAACACCACCAACGTCTCCATTCCTTTGGCAATCCATCCTAGTGTCTCCCTAGATATCCTATCTCTCTCTCTCACTAATCTCATGCCCTAAGCTGTGGATAGCTAACTAACAACCAGTGAACTCTCACCAAATACTCCAGCGACCATCGATCAGCGAACCTCCAGCCCTACCAGTCCCCCTATGCCATCAAGATATGTCTATTCCATTCCATCAAGTTTACCAAGTTTCAAGTTGGAGCTAAAGGTCGGGCTCCATCATTTTGTTGAGGAATATAGTCCCGAAAGATGGCCTCTATAATGGGACAAGACTTATGATTGTCAAGTGCGCATCGCCGGTTATTGAGACTAGAATTCTAATTGATGACAAATCTGAAAATTTGTGTTTCGTCCCGCATATATCATTATCACCGTCATCAAAAGATTTATTATTTCAAATGACTAGACGCCAATTCCCAATATACTTAACATATGCTATGACAATCAACAAGTCGTAGGGCCATTTAGTCAAGTTTGTTAGTGTAGATCTACGCTCGTCTGTATTTTGCCATGGTCACCTACATGTGGCCATGTCTAGATGCACGTCGGCCGATCGCATTAGTGTCCTTCTCCCTCCCGATAGATTAGCTACCACCACAAATATCATATATTCAAAGGTGTTGTTGCACTCGGTGTAAATATTGTTACCTTTTTTATGTATTGCAACTTACGTCAAGTGTAGGCCTAGCTTCTTTCACACATGTATGATGATAAATTTCAATGATTATATGTTTTTTTTTTGAATTCGTGAGCATCTCTGTTTGATCCGTTGAATGAGCGTAGACTTCTTTGTTTGGATACTAATAAGGTGTTTTAATGATATATTATTCTTTTAAACTTTATGCTTTTACCTTGTTCTTATTCCTGCATGTTTAACATTAAATAGATTGTTGTTCAACCCAGCACATGGGAGCTTGATGTTGATACACACACTTTCGTATGCATAATGCGCCAGTTGTTTCCGCGGGTCCATTGTGTTCATGTCCCACAACAGATTTGATTATCATGTAGTTTGTTGAAGTCGCCCTGTTTAGTAGCTCTACTAGGGGCAAAAAGGTTTGGGTGTCTTTGCCAAACCTAAAAACAAGCATTCATATCATTTCTAATTGGTTTTTAGAATAGTTGGAGTCATGTTTTGTTAGTGTCTTAGCTTGCTAGAAAACATATTTTTGATGTTATATAAATGTGCTTTGGTTTACTCTAGCTGCCATATGTTTTGTACAAGGCTTTTGTCCTTTATATTATAGGTTACAACTAAATCATCGGACAATGTGAAACATGAGCAAATTAAGATTGTCACAAGGCCAAGGCCTGGTAAAGAATCCTTAAATGAAACCAATGAGATTAAATGTTGTCCTGTGACAAACATGGAAGAGAGGAAGGAAGAGTACGACAGGGCACGAGCTCGATTTTTTAGTAGTCCGAGTAGTAGTCTTGAGTTGGTACACACAACGTCTTGAACCCCTTTAGAGGGGAAGAATATGTGTGTCAATGGAGATGATAGTGAAGCTTCAGGTAAAAACCTTAGCAGCAGGGATAGTGATACTCCTTTTGGAGTAGCTATTTTTAGAGACAGTCATAAGAATCTCATTGACCCAGATTATGACCAAATCCACTACAAGAAAAGGGTTTTTTTGCACCAGCAATTTGTCGATGGCAACATGATCGTTTGAGTCGGCAAATTGAGGGTGGCAAATAATAGGCGATGCAAAAGATTTTGCATTGGCAATTAACTGTCACAAAAGCTTTTGCATTGGGAAAACCCGATGCAAATGCTCTGTCGCAAAAAAATCTTAGATACAACCTTTTTGTTTGCAACAACAATTTTTCGTCGCAAAAAACCCTATTTGCAACGGTTAAAATCTGCCGCAAAGATACTATTAGCCACAGTAGGGGACCGTCGCAGCAAACACATTTACAACGGTTTTAATCCGTCGCAAAATATATTATTAGTCATAGTGAGGGATAGTCTCAACAAACCCATTTATGATGGTTTTTAACCGTCACAAAAAATATTATTTGCCATGGCAAAAGGCTGACGCAAAAAAAAATGATATTACTCTTTTGACGTTATTTGCGTCAGCAACTTGTTTTCATAAATAATTTTATTTTTAAAACCTAATTCTCTTTTCACATGTTTCTTTAGACCTGTTTACATATCCAATACATTACTCATAACATCATTTGATTAAAATAATAAGACACATCTCTCAAAACAAAAACATCTAAATTTAAAAATAAAAATATATTTAACTTAAGTAAATAGCATCCGAAATTTTAAAAACAAAATATTCCAAACTACGTAATAAAAGTGTTAATGCATAATAAAAAAATTTAGTCTCTCAATGCACTATTTGCTCTGTAATCATGCACAATGTGTACTCTTTACTCATGCGTCATCTACTCTCTGCGTTATCTACTCATTTCATAGCACTTGCAAAAGATATAAGTTGTGTTATTATTGTCAATAATATGTTTGGTTGTTAATTATATACATATTAATTAAGATAAAACATACATCACTAGACGGACAAGTAACACTTTTTTCTACTGCCCGTCCAACAGTAATTACACCAGAAAAATGTCTTATCAAATAAGTATTAGGCATTATTATTTCCTTAACATATACGTTCGAAAAATCATGTCTCAATGGTACTCTCTCTACTTCTTTCGATGGGTCTCCACTAAGAATGATCCTCTTCGCCATTACTTGCCTTGGTAAATGAGAACTAAGGAGGTCTACTTTTGTATGAACCTACAACCACAAGTGTTAACAACTTTTAGAAGCCAAAACAAATACAATTGAAAAAAAAATTACAATTATAAATCTATGTATCACACATTGTCATACACTATGTTTACCACACATATGCACTAATATGGATATGAGGTTTTCAACATAGCTCTTTCAAAATATCTTGATAGAAGACAATGTACAACACATATATACCATGACATTGATGCAAACAATGTACAACACTGCCAACAATGTTATATTTTTTTTTTCTTTTTGATAGGAAATAGAAGTATTGACAACAACATGCTCCCTAAATCAGCAGAATATCTATGCAGGTATAAAAGTAATTCGTCAACAAGGTAGAACCCATCACCTATGCCTTTCTTTTTTCCTTTTTTACCCTTTTCTCCTCTAACTCTTTTCTAGTTTTCACCAATTAAAGGTGAATATATGACAACACAACTGATTGGGCACTATTATGCCAGGCTAATAGCATGTCAAAAGTGTCCTCATTGTTTCATTGGGATGTGGGTGAAACACTGGGTAAGATCTTATGCATTCGGTGGTAGTGTTTTACAAAACAACCTAAAGTCCAACCCCTAAAATCTTATGAATATCTATGGAGCTATTTTTATTATGGCATAAGCCAAAGCAGTTTGATTGCCTATGACTTTACCATCTATCAAAATACAATCAAATACTTTACACCACACACAGAGTCTACTTCAAAAGAAAGCTCGGTGTTAGAAGGCAGGCTATCCTCTAAAATGAGATCTACCTAATGGCTAAGGAGCATTTTGTTCGAAAAAATAATGGCCAATGAGCATATTAGGATAACAGTTCCAATGATGCCAAAGATTAGTTTCTTTTTATACGTCAAAATGAATAGCTCCAAATTTGTAAAATTGCTGTGGATGAACAAACTTCTGCACAATGATCGAAAACATCTAACAACTTTATGAAGAAACATCAAATACTCTTTTTTTCACTCTATGCACATATGTAATGAAAAGCAAGTTGGAGAAAATTACCACGAACCACCTCAGTAAAGGCAGTTAAAAAGATTCCAACAGCATAATACAAATACTAAATCAACCTGACAATACCAATCTCCACCAAGGTCTAATGCAAACTATCCTCAATATGTAAAATTCATGTTTAAATCAACAAATAAAAGACATGATAGTTTGGAACAGATCCAAATACTGAAACAGGAGCGCAACCGGCTAAAATTTAAAAAATCTCCTTAAATTGGGACAAATATATACTCACAAATATATCCAACAAAAGTCCTTATAAAATTTGGACCATACATAATCTCATGATTGATATGAAATAGTAGATACTTGCATGCTATCAAATCACACAACCACCACTCATATAAGATCAAGTTATGTCAACCCAATCATAAATGGGTACAAACCTAGATAGAAAATCAATAAAAAAGATGGGAGAGATAGAGAACAATTAAATATGAGAACAATTATATAACCCAGATAGAGCAATCAATAAAAAAGATGAAGAAAACATGCCCGGAAGATGAGGGGCGACTGGAATCTACTACAATACAGAAAGTAATTGCCCACAATGGAAGATTGATGTCGTGACTCTAGTAAACAGTGGTGGCAACAACAATTTGGAGACCTAGGGTTTACTCAATTTTTAACATAGAGAAAGAGGGAGAGAGGAGAATCGATATGCTAAAGAAAGAATTGATCATGAGCGTGGGAGACGTGTGACTACAAGGGAGAGAGAGAGGTGTGAATTGTCAACTGTGAAGGGAAAAAAAATAGGTTTTTATTCTTTCATCAAATATATTACTAAATTTATCGAGAAAAAAATTATATAACTAAAATAATAGACCCAGCCCACAAAATACTATCATTTTAATAATAGATCCACAAAAAGATGCTATTTTATATAGACTAATTATCACAACAAGTCCTTAATGTAACACAAGCAAAAATATTTGCTACAGGAAAAACTCCTATCGCAAAAAATAAAATTTTATTGTATTTGTTGCCACAACAATGGCTTACCATTGCAAATAAATCATTTTAAACAATGGCATTAGGAACAGTCACAAAAAAATTAATTTTGCCACAGTAAATATACCGTCACAAAAAATAAAAAAGTGATGCAAAAATTCAAAATTCTTGTAGTGAGAGTTGTGAAAGGTAAGATATCGGTCTTGTTCTTTGCACTGGGATTTAAAGTTATTTAGTTGCTAGATGCTATGCAATGTGGAAAACTTGTTTTAGTAGTTATATTTGTGGTGCCAAGAATTGGATTTTCAAATATTGGGATTGTAAAGTTATATTTTAATTAAATGCATGTTAATTGTATGAAATTTTATAATAGACGCGATTTGGCAAATGACCCGTATGTTGAAATGCTACATATACATACTATGTGCTCTTTCTCTCCTACATCACGCCAAATTCGATAGGAGCTCGATTATTTGATCGTAAGTCATTCTATACACACCTCCATATCTTTTACTAGATAAATTGGTAATTTGTTTCAATCTCTCTAAATTCTTACTTATATCAATCTAAATCCTCCCCCACCACTACATACAAATGTGTGAGCTCATTAGTTTTTTAGACAATTCAGGGTAATGGAATTGATGATAATAATTATGTTGAATCCAACTAATGAGAAAAGTAAGAGGTCTCATGTTTCAAATTTACAAATGTTTTATTTTGCCTGACATATTTCGATAATTTTTATATTTCAAATATTTTCAAGTATACATAGAAGGATATGAAGATAAAGTTGAAGTTGTTTCTCTATTTGTGCATGTGTGTATTTTTTATGTTTCGTCTTTTGTACATTTAACTAATTATACATCGTTATGATAATTTTGTGTATGAAATGATGGTTGTGTTGGTGGTTGAGTATGTATTAATGATTGTTATGTATGATTGTAAGTTTTGTAGACAAGTTTAGAATTTTTTGGACTTCTATTTGTAAAGAAAATTCTGCCAAAAATTCTTGAAATTAGTAGGGACTAGTTTGATATTTTGGTAGTTGGATATGTGTTGATGATTGTGTATGTATTGATTATTGTGGTGATTTTGGGTATGAAATGATGATTATTTTGGTGGTTGGGTATCTATTTATGATTATGGTGATATGATGTATTATAATGATTGTAACGTTAGATTGTTAGTTTTGTAGACAGATTTAAATTTTTTTGGACTTCTATTTTAAAACAAAATTTTGCCGAAATTTTTTAAAATTGGCAAGGACTAGGCTGATGTTTTGGTAGTTGAATATGTGTTGATTATTGTATATGTATTGATTATTGTAGTGGTATAGTGAATTATGATGATTGTTATGTATGATTGTAAGTTCTGTAAACAGGTTTAAATTTTTACGGGTTCCTATTTTTAGAGAAAATTTTGCTGAAATTTTCGGATAATAGTATAAACTATTTTGATTTCAAATTGATATGTTGTTTTAGGTTACAAAAAAGTCTTTCGGTAATGTAATATTTTTCGAGTTTTAATTTAATTTTTGGTTATGCCGTGCCTTCAGGCACGGGCAATTACTAATTATTATATATTGACAGATAGTTATCGATCATTCAATTCAAAATTTAATGACCAATATTAACAATATTAAGGTCCTCAAGTCTATATGATAGTTACCTTACTTTACATAGCGTGGGGAAGACCAAAGAGACAGTGCCGTGCCCTGTAAGTAAACTGTTCCAAT